TCTATTTTGGGATTTAAATTATAAGGTTGTGAATCAAATGTATAATCTCATTTTTTTGTGTACAGTCCTTTATAGTAATTTGGGAGATGGAACTGGTAAAGTAGAAAGTTTAATACTGCACTCACTTCCTTAGCTATTGTTCATTAATCAGATTCTCCTGGTGAGGCTTCTGTATAAAACTGGAGTGCTTCAAAGCACTCCTTTTTTTCTGCTTTCTCAAATAGTTATTAATGGGAAAGAAATCCTTTGAAGAGTTGTTGTTGTTGTTGTTGTTATTACTGTTACATTATTGTGGGCATCCAGATCGCAGATAATCCAAGGGGGTCTCTTGCTCAGTCTGCTCCCGTTACCTTGAAGGGGGATGAACTGGTTTTGTGCTTCCAGGAGAGTGTTCTTGAAAATCTCCCAGAACTCACCAGCTCCTTTATCCTCCATGGAAGCTTCCCACAGAATCCTTCACAATGGAGCTCTCAGCGAGCTGAAGTAACCTCACAACAATATGGTTCAGTAACAGTAGATGTCTTCATCCTTCAGTTGACACAGAAACTGAAGAAGCATATGTTTAGCAAAAGTCCAGTTGTCTTTTGCTTCTAGCTGAGACTGTAAATAGCTGGTGATTGTTACCACTTCTCACCATTTCTGAAAGGAAGCTCCTTGAAACAAAATAATACAACTGTAGCTCGTTTTGCTTTGATTTCACTTTAGATTGGGGGTGGGGGAGCTACCTTCTGCCAGTGTTTCTTCTGTATAATTGCACTGTTTAATCCTTTAATATCCAGAGATGTTACTTTCAAGTGAAAAGCCATAGATAATAACTGCTTAGCTTATTAAAGAGCTTGAAAGCAAAGCAGTTATTTCCTCATTTGATAGCATGAACCTTTCTGTGGCAGACAAATGATTTTTAATTTTAAACCTTACATATATGGCTGAGTGTATTGATTTCTATGGATAATGTCATTAATTTTTGTCCCGTAGTAATATATATTACTCTAATGCTTCTTTCAGTCTCCTCCTCCTTTCCTATATTTCCTCCAGTTTAAGTAAAAGACTAAAATCGTGCAAGTAGCATAAATCTGTCCCTGAAGAACACTGATCTGCTGAAAGCAAGGGTCCTTTTTTCTCATCATCATCCCCTGCAATGTGCTTCTTCAAGTTCCCAGGAGGTCTCCCTCCACCTGGAGGCTTCTGATCAAGAAGACTTCGCTACAGCCTTTTCATGATTTCCTGTGTTTCGGTTTTCTCCATTCTTTTTTGATCACTCTTACTATCCTTTTTGTCTTTTTTCTAGTAATAACGCTTCTTTTTCTAAGAGCTCTTGCTACATAAACCAAACTCTGAACTATTTTTTCATAACATCAGTGTATTACTGTCCAACTTCCTAACTCATAATAACTTCATAACTCATGATAATCCCCTTTGTTCATGTTCTCTGTTTATGTCTTAGCCTTCTTGTTCAGCCCCTGTCTTTTCCTGCCCCCAGCTCTATGGCTTGATCATCTCCTTAGCTACCCCTCCTTTGGGATGATTCCATTTATTATAGAAATGACAGATTTAGTGTCACAGGCTGGATGTTCTTATGTTTCCCTTATTGAAGTTTTCTTTTTTAAAACCTATAGATACATTGGAACTAGATGACTGAGTTTAAATATCCTTATGTAAATTAGGCATGACTTCTGCTGAATGTCACTATAATGTTGCCTGTTCATTTTTCTTTGGGTTTGTTTAGTTGGTTTTTTTTTTTTGGCATAATAAAAACTCTTCTGTCTTCATGATATATGTATTGGTTTCACATATTTCTCTTTATCATGTGAGGTTGCCTTTTTGAATTCATTCCTTTTCTATTTCACACAGCTGCCTAGCTCCTTGCAGGCACACAGGCTTTCAGCCCTCCCCCAGACATCCATTCTGCTTTTCAATACTAGGTGCAGGGCTTGAGCTCGTTGGGAGGAGGGACAAAGAGAAAATCCTTCAAAAAATTAGATGGCAGTGACATTCTTAACAGTATCTGTGGTGGAATTCATTTTTAAACTGCTTTTAATAAGAACGGAAAAGGCATTAGCTAAAGATACAGAAATTTTCAGGTTTTATCTGGAAAAGGTCAGGATTGGGAGGGGATTGGTTTGTTGTCTGGATAAAGGATTTCCTCCAAAAGTCTTTTCCAAAGTGAGCCTACTGCTGTAGCACCACAGCAGTAAAGGCCATAGCAACTGTAAATGTGTATCTAGTCTGGGATTATTTTACCCACATGGAATACTTTTCATTAGAAACACAGCTGTACTTTCATCACTAAAATTTGGTCCACAGTGAGTCTTAAACACTTTGCTTCTACTTGAAACATGTCCATTATGTGAAATCTTCCAAGCATACCCTAAGCATTGTAGAGATCTCAAATAGCCAGTGTGCTCCTATAAAGTCCAGAATGCTGAGATATATTCTACTGTTTATGCACCAGAGTGCTCCTGTTTGGCATTTGCGGGTTGGTTTGGGTTTGTTGTTTTTTGGGGTTGGTTGGCTTTTGGGTTGGTTGGTTGTTATGTTTTTTGACAGAGCTGAGTAGAAGATGCTTGGGCTGTAGGAGCCAGAGCATTTCCCTCAGCAAGCAGTAGGTGAGCACCATAGGACCATTCTCTTCCATAGTCTGGGAGCAACCACAGCTGCCTCCTCTACTCCTCCTTCTGCACTTGTCAGAAGGGAGTATTGTGTTAACCCACTTACAGATTTTAATATGAGTCCTGCTCTAACCTTAAAGAAGCAGAATAGAGTCCAATACCTTTCGCTGTCATTTCCTACCCGCTGCTTTGGGACATTTTCCATTCACCCTCTTGCACACATGGTGCATCAGAGGCATGGCCAGGCTGCTTCTGTTTTCTGCCTTCTCACCCAGGCACCTTGCTTCTCGTCTGCCTTTCTCCATCTGGATAGGTGATATGGAAGTGATAAGCCTATAAGTGTGGAATAATTGGGATTTATTTCAGTGGCTGTGGTCTGGGTGGTAGACCATAAGGTATGAAATAAAATGAGTCCATGCTGGGTTAGGGCAAATGGGCCCTGGCAATGGACCCGGGTAGGCAGGATCTGCTCTGTGGTAGCATGTAATGAATTTGCTCTTAGGAAGGGGAGTTAAAGTTGTTCTTTCTCTCTTTTCAACTCTCCTCAACACGCTTGCCTGCAGTTATTGAAGGCACAGCAGCTGTCTGTGGTCCTAAGTAGTCCTGCAGAGACTTGAGAGAAGACTCTGCATCTTCCAGTGTATTTCTCAGCAGCAAAACCACCAGGAATGGCTTGGCCACCCTCAGGTTCAGGCTGAAACTAGGAGCATCAGCTACCAGAGGAGTGACTTTTTGGGATGGTCTTCATGTAATACACAGAGGGCAAAATGTGTTACAAGGGGAAGTGACAGCAGATTTAAGCCAGATAAAGTGAAGCACTTCTTCCCACACTAACAGTCTGGGAGAACAGAATTTTTGGAGACCAAATCTGTGGATTCGAGAAGGGATTAGACAAATTCATGGAGGAGTGGTCCAACAACAGCTATTGAAAATGCAGGTTTGGATGTAGTCTCCCAGAAGACCCTGAATCACTTATTGCTGGCAGCTCAGCAAGTCAGTCAGGGATGACTCCATATATGTTTCTTGTGCTCTTTCTTTAAGCATTGCTGCTGACTTCCCTCACACATAATATGCTCAACTCCGATGGGCTTTACTTTGGTCTAGTATGTCAGTGCATAATGGTTCTTAAGATGGAGCTTAAATCAGTTGATGAAGCAGTCTACATGATATTGCTGCTGGCATTATTAAGGGAATGATCTCTTAGGTCTCTCCAGTAGTTTCGTCCCATACCCGAGAAGTCTCCACAAGGGGACAATAGCCTGTAACCCCAGTGAGACAAACACTGCTGTATGCTCTGAACCACAAAATGCTTGTCCTCAAAATGCTTGTCTTTAGAGGTTCTCATGAGTCAATACCCAAGCTAGCCAAATTTTTGGGAAGCTCCAAGATGCAAAACTAATAGGGTTCTCATTAATAACGGATGGTTACTGACAGCAGTGATGTCTGCTTAGGGGTTTTATGCTCTGTAAGATAGCCCTGAAAAGAACAGAACCATATAAGAAGTCTTTAAGCCTTTTCTACTGTGGATTTTTCCTGCCTTTGGTAATATTCCTTTCTGCACCCTTCCCCCCCCCCCCCCCCTTTTTTTTTTTTGTACTGATAAATGTCCTTGCATTAATAAACTCATAATGCATTTTGTTTATCCCTTCAGAGCCATCCCTTGCAGCTTTCATTAGCATTTTAGGATATTTATGGCTTTGTAAATGACTGAAAAATCTGCAATTTGTCATTAGGAATTAAGAAAAATCTTCTTTTTTACTTAGGGCTGAAGCTCAGCTTCAGCCTTTGAGGGACTGAGCCACCTCTGGGCCTGGTAGACAAAGACAAAGTCAGACAGTGCCCAGATTTACAGCAGCAAGTGGTTCTTTGGTAACTCAGATGTCTTTGATAATGTGTCATCCACTGTTGCTGGCAGGGATTGGTGTTTAGGCTCAGAATTAATTTCTCTCTAGCTGGAGAGAAAACAAAAATATCTTTTCTGTAAAGCCAAAAGGCAAAAGAGGTAGTAACAGGGAGGAAAATGAAAACAGCACCAGGCATGTGTAAAAAATGCTTATATATATATATTGCATATACACACAGCGAAGGTTAACAGAGAGAAAGTGCTGTGAGGAAAACATTGTATTTCACTTTGTTGTGCTCTGTACTTTCAGCTTCCAAATACAGGAAGTTAAGAGAATTTTTAAAGTTTCAAAGAGGAGTTTATCTTGTAATCGTGAAGGGCTAAAGAATTGGTTGGATAGGGATAATAATCAAAGGAGCCTTTTCAGCACTAAACTGTAGTCCAGAAAATCAAAGGAAGGAATGTTAATTGCTTTGTACAGTATGATATTCTCAGTTCAGAGTAGCTTTGGCCACTCAATGGTACTTTTTCTCTCTCCTTCTTTGTAGGTTGATTAAGTGAATAGAAAAAAAAAAAAAAACAGAAAAACGAAGCTGCTTTCAAGTATTGAAGATACAAGGCCAGGATGAACACGAAGGACGCAAAAGCGACTGAAGGAGGTCTCAATGTCACGCTTACCATTCGACTTCTCATGCATGGCAAGGTGAAGCATTTATTGTTGCCACAGCGGTTGCCTGTGTATTGAGCGAGTGTGTGCAGTTACCATCAGAGCCTTACAGTGACTTTGACAGAGTGTCATTGCTTCTCCTTCTCTGACTTGAGTCAAAAGCACCATTGCCATGACCAAAAAATCAACCCCGGCCTTTCAAGGCATCCTATTTCAGTTTGCACTGCAGCCGGAGATCACTGGAACAAACCCTGCCTGTAACAAACTCATTTTGAGCAGATCTGGCAGCAAAAAAAAAAGAGTTCTTTTATCGATAGTTAGCCAAATCAGGCAGATGCTTTAGTAAGGCTGACCTGCATACGGCTTGCCTTCCTCATCATTTGCTGGATTCTGCAAGGAGGAGGGTTAAGGTAGTAGGACATGGACTTATGTGAAATAATTGCCACAGAATTACTGTTTCTGTTGGATACAAATGAGATAGTTCTTTGTTATTCCAGTGTAGCATCTTACTAGAGTGAGGGCCCTGATATACCAAGCATTCGTCTAGGTCCCCTGTGGGTTTATTTTGGAAGGTTGACTGTTATTTTATTTCTGTCCAGCGCAGCGTAAGTGTGAAATCCGCCATAGACAGAGTGCCAATTCAGTATTGTCAGACTTAACAGTCTGATAGCTGTTTATTTCACATTGCCAGATCACAAAATGGGCTTTTAACTAAAAAAACACATTTCATAGGTTTGTTTGTGGTATTTGCATCAGACAGTGCCAGGCATTTTTAGGCTTAATGAATGAATTATATAAAGGAGATGATTTGGGCTCTTTCTTAACAAGGAACAGTAAATATATATAATTCTGGAGATCAAATTTGCATCTATAAATCTAAAAGTATTTTTACTCATAGAATTTAATTTAATAACTAAAAAATACATTTACATTTTTAAACAGTTCACGCTTTCAATCTGCAGCAGGAACACACATGCATACTGTAGCACAAACAGGAGACTAAGGTCTTATTATAGTCTCCCTCTGTATTTTACTTATGGAGCTGCTAGGAAGTATGAGAGGGTACAGTTTAAGTCTGCAAATTAAAAAACTCAGAAATAAGGTTATGTCAGATCAAATTATGTATTTTCTCAGAAATCATCCAACCATTTTGTTTGATTTTTTTTTTTTTTTTTTTTTTTTCCCCCCCTGAAATATTCCGCTTCAGGCAGGCATCTGGTGTGTAGGATCTGCATCTTAAACAGGGATCTGTCAAGCAAATTTAATAACGGTCTCTCTTACCAAACTCACCTAACATCTGTATGCATGTCTGCACTCAAAATAGTCTTAGGGGTTGATTCTACTGTGTTCTGGTCCCAATCCAGAATAGCATTTAGAATCATAGAATCACAGAATAGTTAGTGTCAGAAAGGACCTTAAAATCATCAAGTTCCAGCCCCCCTGCCACAGGCAGGGACACCTCACACTAGATCGTGTCCCCCAAGGCTCTGTCCAGCCTGGGCTTGAGCACTGCCAGGGATGAAGCATTCACAACTTCATTGGGCAACCCGTACCAGTGCCTCACCACCCTCACAGTAAAGAATTTCTTCCTTATATCCAATCTAAACTTCCCCTGTTTAAGTTTTAACCCGTTACCCCTTGTCCTGTCACTACAGTCCCCAACGAATAGTCCCTTCCCAGCATCCCTATAGGCCCCCTTCGGATACTGGAAGGCTGCTATGAGGTCTCCACGCAGCCTTCTCTTCTCCAGGCTGAACAGCCCCAACTTCCTCAGTCTGTCTCAGCCTCTTCTTGAGCACATCCTTATCCTGGTGGGTACAAGTAGCTGTACTGGTTGCAATCAAATTCACGTGTGCTTAAGCATGCTCTTTTTGACCGCTGTCAGACACTGTCAGCTCTACTTATAGAATCATAGAATTATAGAACAGTCAGGGTTGGAAAGGACCTTAAGATCATCTAGTGCCAACCCCCCTGCCATGGGCAGAACCATGCCTTTAAAGCAAAACTCAAGTATCTGTCATTTTCAGGACATTTTAGTTAAACTGTGGGCTAAGACTGGGGCTTTTTTAAACAATTTTTAGGTTTAATCAGAAATGAAATAGAAAAAGTTAATTTTCTGTGTTAAAAATCAGTGATTGTGTGTACAACCACTTTTAACACTAATGGATGTTACGTGTCCAATCCTCAATGTGTATGTAGCCCCAAGGGTCTAAATTAAACCAGTAGAAACTACGAAGTTCACATTTTAAGAGTGAGTGTACTATGCATCCTCAGATAACAAGGCACTATGGGTATACTGTTAACTCTGCTATGCTCTAACCATGTATCCTGTTGTGCCTAAGTATTTCACAGGGTACATTAAATCAATTTATTTTGGTGATAAAAGTCAGACCCTTACAGTTCTTTGATGTAATTTCTGTGATTTAGAAATTATAGAGGAATGAAAGATATCTGAGTCAATATGAACTCAGTGTGAGAAGGTCACTCTGAAAGCTCTATGAACCAGTGAAATGTTTCTAAGCTCTTCCTTAAGATTTGTTGTGGTAATGACATTGGTGGAAATTGCTGATCTCTAATTAGTATTTCTAGGCGAAACAATTAACTGAAGCAGAGCTTGGGCCGTACATAACTGGTCATAACCTGAAAGAGAAGATGGGAATTAAAAGGTTGTTTTTAAAAAGAACAGTAGTTCTGAGTGGACTCAGTTAATATTAAAGTAAGGTCATTTTAAAGTTATGAATTTATTAGGGTGTTTCATGGAAAAATGAGGGCCTGTCCCCACCAACCGTCACTCTGTCTCTAAACCTTTATTGCCAGTATACCTTTGCGTAGTGAAAGTCTATGTACTTTGTGATATTTGCATTCATTTGACTGAAAGTCCATAACTTGTGCTACTATGTTTAGTTATCTTGGCTGTAAATCCTGTGGACTTAAGAAATTTTCAGCGTGTACTTTCTGTGTGATTTGTATAAAGGCTTTAAGTCAAGGATGGACATCTTAATTAGGCAATTAAGCTAAATTCTATATCTGCAGACAGAAAAATCAGGCTTTATATGAATGGACAGACATTTGCAAGAGGGTAGGGAATAAAAAGTATCTTTAGCAATAACAAGCAAAACAAGAGGAAAAATCCAAGACAACATTGGCGTCTGGTGAAAGGAAAAACAGATGGGAACAGTCCTGAGCTCCAGTACAACCCAGGCCCCATTCCTCCTTGAAGGAAGGGCACCTCTCATCAGTGCCTTTGCTCTGTCTTGCTTTGAGGAGAGAAGTGGCTGTAGGTCCAGCTGAGCTCCTGCAGGGCTTTATGCAGCCTCCTGCCAAAGAGGCTGGGATGGCCACTTGGAGGACCCGCTCCACCGCTCTTCCACAGCGTAGCAAGATTTGGGAACAGCTTTCTGGCAAGGAGGCAGGGCACAGCCTTGATTTTTCTCAGGCAGAAATTGTAATGGTAAGGAAGCACAGGGTTATATATGGCGAGGTATGAAAGATTAACATCAGGATGTTTCCAAGGCCTAGTCTTGAGCCAGGACTTGAGAGAGAGTGTGATGGTGTAAGATAAATGGCCTAATTTTCATCTTACACCATGTTACATCAGTTAAAAAGTTATGATTGTATGACAGCCCTGAAGAGAAACTAGAAGCAACACAAAACGCTTGTTCATACATTCTTGCAATGGGAGGGCAGGTGATAGGGCGTACACAGGGGCAGTGCTCAGATGTTCTTCATATCCATGAAGAAGCAGCTGGATGTTTTAAAAGCAAAATTAGGAAAACCAGACTTGTTCAGCCTGGAAAAGGGAAGGCTCAGGGGAGATGTTATATCAGCCTTCCAATACCTTATGGGGGCCTACAAGAAACCTGGAGAGGGACTCTTTACAAGGTCATGTAGTGACAGGACAAGAGGGAATGACTTTAAACTGAAGAAGAAGAGATTTATGTTAGATATAAGGAAGAAATTCTTCACTACGAGGGTAGTGAGACACTGGCACAGATTGCCGAGAGAAGTTGTGGCTGCCCCGTCCCTGGCAGTGTTAAAGGCCAGGTTGGACAGGGCTTTGAGCAACCTGGTCTAGTGGAAGGTGTCCCTGCCCATGGCTGCGTGGTTGGAACTGGATGAGCTTTAAGGTCCCTTCCAACCGAGACCATTCTGTGATCTATGGTACATGGCTGTATGAGAAGGGGAGGAGGCTGTCCGGGAATGCCACACCATCCATTACTGGAGGTTTTTAAGAACAAGTAAAGCTGCCATAGCACTAATTTTGACTGAGTTATCTGAATGCTGCTCTGAAGAGGGCATTAATGGAAGAGCATATTGAAGCATGTCTAGGATACATAGAGTATATTAAATAACGCAGAGATGCATTTTCATCTTTCATTAATGACAAGGGTGCACTACATTAAGGAATAAGGCTGTTCTGTGCATTTCGGTAGCGAAAAAAAGGGAATGTGGATGGGGCCTGTTTACATTGCCCTAATTCTCTATTTTCCATGTAATTCCTGCTGTTTCTTGAAGTAAAATAAATAAAATTACTCTGTAGGGCAGAGACATGAATGGGTGCAGATACTTTATTACTTTTATCTACCTAAAAAATGTACTTTGTAGGCAGGGCTGCAATATTGGAGGGATTGCAAAAGTTCTGCTTCCAGAAAAGGCAAAAGTAGCAGCATTTATCCATACCAGAACACCATTTTTGAAGGACAGAAGGAACACAAATTGAGTGCGTGTGCATTTGTGGGCAAACAGTCCCCAGCTATCAAAGCCCTCAATAAGGAAAGGCAGAGCTCAGGCTCCAACAGAAATGTGCCTTTCATTTTTTAATTCCTTTTTTTGTTTTTGTCAAAATCAAACTTCTTTTGGGTATCTGCAAGTTACAGGGTCTTTGGTGGAGCTCGATGATTTATCATTCTATGCTCACCTTTTGCTGAGTTTTTTGTTCCCATAGCTTGTGGCTTTATTTTGGGGTGTTTGTTTCTTGATTACTGCCACAGATAATGAGGTTGGAAGGTTGTGGAAAATTGTAGCCTTGCTCAGAG